CCAGACGCCATTTTTTTTTACTACAACTAGAAAACTACCGTGTCGTGCGGTACAGTCGGGATTTCCGTCTTTTTTCTGATTGACTATTTTTGAGCTGCCTAGTCCCGCCCCTCAAGTGCCGCTCTGCCTGTGAGTTACCAGACTCTCTCTGTGCTGAATTACACAGAGGACGAGTCTGGCAGGCCAGGCTACATACAGGGACCTAACAGCCCGTAGCAGAGGGCCTGGTACCCCATACTCCCAGAGTACCCCCCACAGGGCCCCCCGAGGGACGCGGTCAAACGCCTTCTCCAAATCCACAAAACACATGTAGACTGGTTGGGCAAATTCCCACGCACCCTCCAGGACCCCCCTAAAGCCTGGTTTATGCTTCTCCGTCAGCTCCGCAAGGCACAGACACGCACGGATTGACGGAAGCGTTTTGCTCTCATACTTCTCCGTCTCCTGGAGAGTGTTGCAAAGCAATTCCCCGGCAGGACAGCAGAGGGCGTAGTGCTGTTCTGTGGTATCCTGTCATGTATCGGTCCAAGATAGTGTGTTTATATTGTGTTTTTTGTGTACATAAGAGACGTTTAACACGGACATATTTGTCTCTCATTCTCCCACCTCTTCATGCGCTCCCCACCTCTAAACCCACGTTTCCTGTCATTTCCGTCCACAAATAAAACGCTTGCTGCGCATCTTTTCACTCCTCCAGTCACGGGGAATTAAACGTTCATATTTTTAGAGTTTTTTCGCGAGGTATTCTTCAAGCTTCTCCGTGTCTGCCGCTAGTTATCCTCGGCTCTCTTTGCAATGGCGGCGCTGTAAACAACAGCGGCGTCCTGACCAATCACAAGCTTGCGTAATCCGTCTCGTTCGACGGATTTTTAAAAAAGTGGGCTCGACTCCGTACGTACTTGCGTGCCTGCCGGAGCCCTACGCAAGGACGTTGCATGTCTCCGCACTGACGCAGGCGGAGAAGCATAAATCAGGCTTGAGGGTATAGAGCTGGTCCAGTGTTCCACGGCCAGGACGAAAACCACATTGCTCCTCCTGAATCTGAGGTTCAACAATCCGACGAACCCTCCTCTCCAGAACCCCTGATTAGACCTTACCAGGAAGGCTCAGGAGTGTGATCCCCCTGTAGTTGGAACACACCATGCGGTACCCCTTTTTAAATAAGGGGACCACCAACCCGGTCGGCCAAGTCCAGTGGGACTGCCCCCGATGTCCACGTGATGTTGCAGAGCCGTGTCAGCCAACACAGCCCCACAACATCCAGAGCCTTAAGGAACTCCGGGCGGATCTCATCCACCCCTGGAGCCTTGCCACAGAGGAGCTTTTTAACCACCTCAGTGACCTCAGCACCAGAGATTTGAGAGGCCAACCCAAAGTCCCCAGACTCTGCTTCCTCACTGGAAGACGTGTCGGTGGGATTGATGAGGTCTTCGAAGTATTCTGCCCACCGATCCACAAGGTCCTGAGTAGAGGTCAGCAGCACACCGTCCCCACTATAGATAGTATTGGTAGCGCACTGCTTTCCCCCCCTGAGGTGCTGGATGGTGGACCAGAATCTCCTCAAAGCCGTAAGGAAGTCTTGCTCCATGGTCTCACCGAACTCCTCCCATGCCCGGGTTTTTGGCTTGGCGACCACCCGAGCCGCATTCCGCTTGGACTGCCGGTACCCGTCAGCTGTCTCTGGAGTCCCACAGGCCAAAAAGACCTGATAGGACTCTTTCTTCAGCTTGACAGCATGCCTAACCGCCGGTGCCCACCAGCGGGTTCGGGGGTTGCCACCACGACCGGCACCAACGATCCTGCGACCACAGCTCCGGTCAGCCGCCTCAACAATGGAGGCACGGAACAGGGTCCATTCGGACTCAGTGTCCCCCGCCTCCCCCGGAACATTATGGAACCTCTGTCGGAGGTGGGAATTGAAGCTCCTTCTGACAGGAGACTCTGCCAGACGTTCCCAGCAGACCCTCGCAATACGTTTGGGCCTGCCTGGTCTGACCGGCATCCTCCCCCACCATCTGAGCCAACTCACCACCAGGTAGTGGTCAGTTAACAGCTCCACCCCTCTCTTCACCCGAGTGTCCAAGACATGCAGCCGCAGGTCAGATGAAACAGCAACAAAGTCGATCATCGAGCTGTGGCCTAAGGTACCCTGGTGCCAAGAGCACATATGGACACTTTTATGTCTGAACATGGTGTTCATTATGGACAATCCATGACTGGCACAGAAGTCCAATAACAAAACACCACTCGAATTCAGATCAGGGGGGGCGTTCCTCCCAACCACACCTCTCTAGGTCTCACTGTTGTTGCCCACGTGAGCGTTAAAGTCCCCCAGCAGAACGAAGGAGTCACCGGAAGGAGCGCTTTCCAGCACCCCCTCCAAGGTCTCCAAAAAGGGTGGGTAGTCTGAACTGTAGTTTGGTGCATAAGCACAGACCACAGTCAGAACCCGTCCCCCCCCCCCCCCCCCCCCCCCCCCACATAGGCGGAGGGAGGCTAGCCTCTCATTCACTGGGGTAAACCCCAACGTACAGGCACCAAGATGGGGGGCAACTAGTATGCCCACCTCTGCTTGGCGCCTCTCAGTGGGAGCAACTCCAGAGTGTTAGAAAGTCCAACCCCTCTCAAGGAAACTGGTTCCAGAGCCAGAGCCATGCGTTGAGGTGAGTCCGACTATTTCTAGTCGGAACCTCTCAACCTCACACACTAACTCAGGCTCCTTCCCCACCAGAGAGGTGACATTCCATGTGCCAAGAGCCAGCTTCTGTAGCCAGGATCAGACCGCCAAGGTCCCCGCCCTCGACTACCACCCGACCCCTTTGGCCCCTCCCACGAGTGGTGAGCCCATGGGAAGGGGGACCCACGTTTCCTCTTCAGGATGTGCCGGGCCGGCAGATCTACGTTTCTACCCTCACCTATGGTCATGAGCTTTGGGTAGTGACCGAAAGAACGAGACCACGGATACAAGCGGCCGAAATGAGTTTTCTCGGAAGAGTGGCTGGGCTCTCCCTTAGAGATAGGATGAGATGCTCTGTCATCTGGGAGGGGCTCGGAGTAGACCCGCTGCTCCTCCACATCGAGAGGAGCCAGTTGAGGTGGCTCGGGCATCTGGTCAGGATGCCTCCTGGACGCCTCCCTGGTGAGGTTTTCCGGGCACGTCCAACTGGGAGGAGGCCTAAAGGTAGACCCAGGACACGTTGGAGGGACTATGTCTCTCACCTGGCCAGGGAACGCCTTGGGATTCCCCCGGAGGAGCTGGCCCAAGTGGCTGGGGAGAGGGAGGTCTGGGCCTCTCGCCTTAGGCTACTGCCCCCTGCGACCCAACTCCGGATAAGCGGATGAAAATGGATGGATAACAGGAATGTTTAAACTGAAGCTTGTAAGGAATGAGTTTTAAAGGTTTCTTAGGACAAATGCCACACTGAGTCGTGTTTAATAAGATTCTGTGTAGATTGGAGTCCCAACAGCATCCCAGGATCCTGCTGCTGCTTTCTCATCTGAAAACAGCCAAACTTAAGTCACTGGATGCAGCTTGTTCCTGGATTAAAATAGCTTTAGTTATGAATCACCCATTCTCCCAATATCTGTATTGATTTGATAACATACGGTTGTACAAACGAGAGTTGGCCGTAGTTCAGAAAACAAAATGTTCTGTTTGGACCGGTGCAACTTCCAGAGGTTTTATTATAACAAATGAGAACACTTGTTTAACACAAATACATTTTAGGCAGGAAAACAAAAGACATTTCATATCAATCTATATGACAAGTGATATAATTTAGTCGGTTAATTTCAAGCTCCTCCAGGCAACAGCTGTTTGCAGTGAGCCGAAGGTGAGCTCTAACCTGTCGGGCTTCAGATGGCTCTTTCTCTTTTATTAAGACATCAGTCATCCTGCTGCTTTGGGTTTGTCCGTGCGCAACAGCAGAAGCAACACAAACACGAAGAACATCAGAATGGTCAAAAAGTTTCATGTCTCACAAATAAAACAATAACACAATATATTAGATAGTTTTCTAATAAATAGGTGGTTGTCACATTTAAATAAATTAGGTAACCATTTTCTACGACAGTAAATAAATACCTTTTCCCATCAGGGTAACGTCATTCAGCAAGAACACACAAAAGAAACGGTTTGAATGGCACAAATATGAGCAAAATGGAAAAGTTAAAGGTTCAATAAGTAAGACTGAAGTAAAAGTGACACCCTGTGGGCAAATGTGGGTACTGCAGCTCATTTTTCTAAACATAAAGGCCATTTTCTCACCACAGCTCTGAGTTTCATGGCTGTTGCCAGTTGTGGATCAGCACCAGAAGATTCTAGATGACGAGTGAGGGCAAGCCATACACAATAAGTACTTAAGTAGAAAAATACATTGTTGTATCTGCTGATGGCAATCAGGTGTTTTATGGTAGGGAGCACTTACTACACTTATTACGGTAGTATGCCTCCAGCATTAGAGGTGTTTGGTGTCTTGCTGTTAAAGTTCTGAGCGACTCATTAAAGGCAGTAAAACGACACGACTGGCTCATTATTCACTTCACACACGTTTCACTGTAATGTCCAGCTGTTGGTGTTTGAAAAAGTAGCTTGAGATATTTTTAGAGCCAACCATGTGCTTATATTCCACCGTTAGCCTCTAGCCTCCTGTACCTGATGTTAGAGTTATAAAATGACGCGGTGGTTTAGGGGTACAAGAAAAAACTTCTGGATTGCTGCTGTTTGCTGGCTTTGCTTCCTTAAAGGTGCATTTTGTAGAAAAGAAGTAAAAATGACATCCTGTGGTAACATTTGATTACTGCAACCACTTTAAACAACTCTGAGACTTTTGCCGGCTTTCGTCAAATCACAGCTGTCGGTGCTGCGGTAGGAGACCCGGCAACCCCACGCTCACCGATGGTAAACAAGAGTTACGTCCCTTCTTTTGTTTTGAAAGGAGAAAAACTGACAATCCCCGCAGCTAGCTGGATATGTTTCAGTATAACCTTCCTTCCAAAATGACTGAGGCATTAGACTCTTTTGGGATTTTCTCACTGTCAGAGTCTCAACATGTTCTTACACGCTGCAGCGTTAGCTCAGGGCAGACCCAGCAACCTCACGTGTTCACAGACAGAAAAACTAACCCCCGCCCGAGAAGGAAATCCATTTCAATGCAACCTTCCTTCCAACAGGAGTGTTTTGTGATTATTTCACTGTAGAATTCTTGCATGTTGCTCCTTTAAGCGTCAGAAAGCTTCATTCTTCCATCAACAGAAACATTTCCAGGAAAAACAACAACAAGGACGAGCTAAGGACTGTTGCTGAGTTTTCAGAGGCACTGAGTTGTTTTTTTACAAAGTGGTTTCTGCTGCTTTATGTGTGAATTTCCATTTGCTCTGTACGTTTAACAGACTTCCTGTTTTCCTGTGGTCACTCGGCTCGTTTTAAATGTCAAAGCTGGCAGCTGCAGCCTTTCTTGTTTCTTTAAGCGTCACAAATCATTTTTAGACAACAACAAAAATCATGTTTGTTTTTCATCTGACATTAACCTTCCTGAAAATGTGCTTTTATTTTCCCTCTGGACAACACTGGGATTAAAAATAAATCAGTTCAAGTAAGTGAGGTAAGACGTAACATGGAGACCAGAGCAACAGGGGAAAATACGTTCCTACGAGCTGTGGCCTTCAGGAAAGTCAGACTTCATCTGAAGTTTAAGTCAGCGGTCTTTGTGTTTTACTCATTTGTGAGATGCAGGTTGGGCTGAGTTTTGTCAGACAGGAGCTGAGGTTGAGGCTGGTTTTGACCCGTTTCTCCCTCTGGCGCCTGTTGCAGAACCAGACTCGGACCACCTCCTTCTCCAGATGGAGGCCTTTGGCTATCCGCGCTATTTCCTGAGAGGATGGCTTACTTTTCTCCACGAAGCTGCGCTCCAGGGCCTCCTTAGCTCCGAGGCTGAGGCACAAAGGAAGAAGCAAAGCCCTTTAAGACTGAATTTATTCTACATCCTGTTTCCCAACAAAACTCACCTGATAGTGGTTCTTCTCTTCCTCTTACGCTCATTCATTCCTGATTTATCGTTGTACAAGGCTGCAGGAAAAGCACAAATTAGGCAGATTTTGCATACGTGTGCGTTAAAGTAAGAGCACAACATTTCAGAAGAGACTAAAATCTCCTAAATGCTCTTCTGCACGACCTGATCTGATCTCATGTGGTCCGTTAGCATTTAAAACTGTCAAAATCAATCTATAGAGGATCACCCAGCTTCGCTACAGTTCTATCAGTTATATCCAACCAAACCAGAAGTGCAGTTTGAATGGGACTGAGATGCATGAAGATTACACCCACTGATGGAGTGGAAGCGTGTGACTCACCACCGGCCAGCTCAGCTTCGTCAAGCCACTTGGCCAGAATGGCCTTGAGTTTGCAGGCGTTCTTAAAACTCAGCTGCAAATTTTCAAACCGGCAAATCGTGGTCTGGCTGAACTCCGAGCCGTGCACCGCAGCTAGAGCCTCGCCGACATTCGTCTGAGTGTAGCCTGGGGTCAAAACGGCACAGGAGAGGTCAGCGTCAGAGGATGAGATGACGCAACAGAAGTAAGTCACACTCACCGAGTTTGATCCTGCGTATTTTGAAGTCGTTTGCAAACATTTCCAGCTCCCGTATCTGCGGCGAATCCATGGCAGGAGCATCTTCAGGTTCCCGCATGCTCTTCCTTTGGGTGTCGTTTTTCAGCTCTCCACTGGGAACCACAGAGGCCTCGTCAGCTGAGAGGAGCGCAGAGGGCAGCGATGAGAAACCGTGGCTCAACGCGCAGGAACTGCTACTGAGACCATGATCTGGAAACTTATAAATGCAGGGCGTCAGAGACCCTGCAGGGGAGAGAAAGCAGATGCAGAAGGACAAGTGAAGCTCTGGAACGCCGGAGAGGCCCACAGATCATCAGTCTGCATGATCAGTTGTCTCACATAAGCTTCTAGTGTCCCTGGGTGACTCAGCCAACCAAACAGCAGTGAATAGTTGTTAGTTGATTGTCTTTTACTGATAAACGCCTGAAAATGACAAGTTTTCACCCCTTCATGGAATGAAAGTTTGAACCCTGTCAGCTCATCCCCTTTCCTTTTCTCTCTGTGCAGCGGCGTGTGGACTTAAGCTATCATTACGACATCTGTGGACGGACGCACACACTCGCTGCTGTGTTGTGCACGATCGTTGCGTGGGATCGGATCTCCTATTGAAGCTGCACACTTGGGTGACAGCTAAGCCGGTTCAATTTACTGATAAAACATGGAGCCGAGTCTCAACACGCCAGTCTCTGACACGAGTGCTGAATCAATCTGAATTCATTTTCAGCGGCTCGGTGAATACTTTTCTTTTCCCTGTCACTTACCACAATGCAACCGAGTTTACCTGTAATTTAACAAACTCGCCCTCACTAGCGGGACTGCCACGCACGTCGCTGAGTCCCTTTCATTCTTTAAAGCTTTCTAATCAAAGAGAGTCAAAAACACGACACGTTCTGCAGCACAAGCAGCAGAGCACACATAATTATCCCAGTGGCTGCTGATGCTGAGTGGTTCGATGGCTCTTGTGCTAATCACTAATGACAGATTAATGACAGATGACCCCCGCCGATCTATTTTATGCAATGCGATGTCATTCTTTACTGCAAAGGAGAAAACGATGCATGTGAGTGGAGAAGTCATTCTGATTAAATGGGATGCAAATGTGGAGGCAGATCCTTGCAGAGACGACTGGATGCTTTTCTTCCTGAGCGCATGCTTGGAAAGGTATGGCATCCATAACAGGGAATGCAATGCTCCCCTCTTGTGTTAGTGGGGCTGCAGTGCAAAAGCAGGTTATAGAGCCAGACAACAGGAGAACAATGATTCCGTTTTTTAGATTTTAAATGAATTTAGGAATATTTCAGGAAAACTGGGTCACACATTCATATTTTTATAGAGCTCTTAGATGGGCATAGGGTACCATTTAGTTGTAATGTAACAGCAGAATTTGGGTTATTCAGGCTATCATAAGAGAAAAAAATGGGATTTAATTTTTCAAAGTCATATTTTCCCCATGTTATTCATACATTTATAAATGTTCAAATATTTAGTTAGCAAGCTAAATATTTCATTTAGAGTTAAATAATTAGTTCACAAACAAAATATTTAAGTCAGACCTACATATTTACTTTGTAAAATATTAAATGTACTAACTAAATATTTAATTTGGTGCTAAATATTAAGCTCCAAACCTAAATATTGATTTTCCAAACAAAATATTTAGCTCCAAAACACATTTTTAACTGGGATGTAAGTAAATATTTAATTTGGAGCTAAATGTTTGTTTTGGAAAAGAAATATTTAATTTGGAGCTAGATATTTAGTTTGTAAACTAAATATTTAGAGTGTGCACTTTAAGAAATAAAACAGTAAATTTACTTAACCAAGTTTTTTAACTGGTTCCCCTGAATGTAGTTGCTTACATTTAAGAGTAAAATCCATTGTTATATATATATTACGTTAAAACTGCAATATGTAATAATGAAGTAAAAACTACACCATGTGGTCAAATTTGAGAATTGCAGGTCATTTTTGTAACCATAACAATCTTCTGTTTCGCCATCGTTCTGAGTTTCATGGCTGTTACCAGTTATGACTCAGCACCAGAAGGGTCTAGATGACAAACGAAGACGAGTCATACACTGTAAGTTGATAGCAGATGAATACATTTCACTGTTATGTCGCGTGTAACACCAGTTCAACGTTAGCCTCTAGCCTGGTTAACCTGATATTAGAGTAAAACAAAAAGACACCGTGGCTTCTCAGGGGTACAATAATTAACTCCCGGGTCGCTCCTGTTTACTGGCTCTTTATACAGCTCTGGAGCTTTTGGCCTGTCGGTATCGAACAAATGCTGGAGCTGCTGCGTTAGCTCGGCGCAGACTCGGCAACAGGGCTCGCAGATTGTAAACAGTAACTACGTCCCTCTTTAGTTTTTAAAGGAGAAACACTGACAACCCTCCAGCCGACTGAGAAGTAAACCAGTGTTAGTAAAACCTTCCTTCAACATGACTGAGACGTTAGACTGTTTTGTGATTATTTCACTGTAGAATTCTGACCTATTGCTCCTTTAACAGACCTCTCACAACCGGTGTAACTCCCAGCATTTCGAGCTCCAGTCTCTGTAGCTTTGGCTCAGGGTTGTCACGGTTGCTAGGAGACAGGACATTTGTCGGGGTAGGGCAGGAATGAATCTGAAGGCTAAATGGTCCAAGTTCACAGCTGCTTGCTTCCAGTCTACCCGATCAATCCAGCCTACTAGAAGGATCGACCCAGAAGCTTTTTCTTGTGTTCCTGAGACGCCACGGCATCTTTTTTTTAAAGTCTAATCAGGTGAAGCAGGCTAGTGGCTAACAACGCTAACGGTGAATTAGAAACAAATAGTCTGTTCTTAAAATATTTCAAGCTACGTTTTCAATCACCAACCATATGATGTAACAGTAAAATGTATTTATCATCTAGAATCTTCCGGTGCTGATCAGCTGACAGCATCAGTCATGGATCTCATGGAACATTTGTTTTGATTTGTGGGCTGCAGTACCCAAATCCCACCACAAGATGTTGTTCTTACTTTATGTACCTTTAAGTACCTTTTAGCGTTTCTTTTCTTAGTGTGAATTAATATTTGCTATAAACCATCTCCTGCTGGAGTTATCGTGGTCCCATTCACTGGTTGACCGGAAGCAGAGTTATCCCAGTAACATATAATTTACTGTGAAACAGTTTCCCCTCACCACCTAATAAATACACTGATATTTTTCTGCATTTTTCAACCCGTTTGTTGAAGTTGAGATGCAACCTTAAGAATGCTTCCCCAGTTGAACCCAAGTGAGGTAGCGTCATCCTGTCTACTGAACCTGAAATGACAGAAAGCAACAAAAGCCTCCACAGAAATTCTGATCCAGCTGAATTTTACCCGACAAAAGAGACGTTAGAGTCTGTTTGGCCTCTGGAGCTCCGACAAAAACATAAAAAATTCAGCAACAGCTCTCACAAGCCTGCGCTAAATGGATGGGTGTCCACAGGAGAGGAGGAGAGGGTGCCATCATTGACCCGTTGCATTGTTCAGGTGATCTACATTCAAGCTGGAGTGCAGTGCTGCACTCATTTTCTCCGGTGTTGGGAATCTCACAGAGAGGTTGGGGTTGTTTTCTCTCGCTCGAGAAATCTTCTTAAAATCAAAAAATACAAGAAATGTTTTCTTTTGTTAATGAAACTTTCAATTTTAAAGCAATATTTTAAAAATGTGTTGATTATCTTCTTTTAAACGGGCGTCAGATACACCGGGTGAGACCGTTTTCCCTCCGCGGCTCTGCTGCAGGCGTGCTTTCTCCTCACCACACATAAAATAGACCCTTCCTCCTCGTCTTTACCTGATGCCTCCACGGATGTTCCCTGAGGAACGTGCTGGGCTGCAGGCCCTTCTCACTACACCGGTGGGCCTGCTGTCTGTGTGAAATCTCCTCACCAGCCCTGTTCAGACCCTCAAGCTGCTACACATGTCTGCAGCATCCCTGAGTGGAGACCCGAGGAAAGCCAACAGCAAACAAACACAGACAGCTGCATCGCTGTAATTCCCCCAGCAGCAAAGCTGCTTTTATAGAAGGCATCATATTCACCGGAGAAGGGTTGGCACTCTGTTATAGAAATGTTTTCCTATTTTGTGTCAACTCCTTCAGGCTCTGCCTTGCTGTCAAACCAGCTGTTGGGAACAACAAATGTTCAGCCACTTCACTGTAAAACCCGCTGTTAGCAGCTGCAAAGGCTCATAATGCTGTTGTAGCTGTGATTTGACCGCAGAAACGATGCTTTCTCTAACTGAGCTTGAGATTTATCAGTCAAATAAGACTGAGTTTATCGTTCACTTTAAAATATTTCACAAAAATTCGTAAATGACATTAAATCTAATTAGTTGCAACTAATGGGCCGGCAGTAAGTCGGGCTCGTTCCCAGTGAGAGTTGGACTCCGCCAAGGCTGCCCTTTGTCACCGATTCTGTTCATAACCTTTATGGACAGGATTTCTAGGGGCAGCCAAGGTGTGGAGGGCGTCCGTTTTGGTGGCCTGAGGATCAGGTCTCTGCTTTATGCAGACGATGTGGTCCTGTTGGCTTCATCAGAACGTGATCTTCAGCTTTCGCTGGAGCGGTTCGCATCCGAGTGTGAAGCAGCTGGGATGAGAATCAGCTCCTCTAAATCTGAGACCATGGTCTTGATTCAGAAAGGGTAGAATGCCTTCTCCGGGTCAGGGATGAGGTCCTGCCCCAAGTGGAGGAGTTTAAGTATCTCGGGGTCTTTTTGATGCGCTGGGAGTGAGAATGTGTTGGACAAGGGGAACGTTAGAACATACCATCTGGCGAGGGGGAGGTTACAAATACCCTCTACTTATAACCTCCACCATGGTAGCTGAAACCTCCCCCTCGCGTTGCCTCGGTCCAAACCCAACCAATGACAAGGCGTCGTTCACTTCATAGAGCCGGCTCTTAGAGTGACCAACACATGACTAACGTGTTAGCAAGATGGTTAAGGTTAGGATAGGGGTGAGGGGAAGGTTAAATAACAAGAGGATGAGGTTAGGGTGAGGCACAATGAGCTCGTTTGGTGCCCCGGCTGTGGACATCCCATCACGTCAGTTTTAGGCTGCATTGGGATCTGCAGCCAGCAAAGGGAAAACCCCCTTTTGTATATAAGTGATGAAAAGGGGCACTTTTGGCGTCAGGGGTCTGACGCGGAGGGTGGCTGACCAAGCGTTTGTTTTTGATGCGCTGGGAGTGAGAATGTGTTGGCAGTTCACGAGTGAGGGAAAACTGGAGCGTGAGATCGATAGGTGGATTGGTGCTGCGTCTGCAGTGATGCGGGCGTTGTACCGGTCTGTCGTGGTGAAGAGAGAGCTGAGTCAGAAGGTGAAGCTCTCGATTTACCGGCCGATCTACGTTCCTACCCTCACCTATGGTCATGAGCTTTGGGTAGTGACTGAAAGAACGAGATCGTGGATACAAGCGGCTGAAATTAGTTTTCTCCGTAGGGTGGCTGGGCTCTCCCTTAGAGATAGGGTGAGAAGCTCGGTCATCCGGGAGGGGCTCGGAGTAGACCTGCTGCTCCTCCACATCGAGAGGAGCCAGTTGAGGTGGCTCGGGCATCTGGTCAGGATGCCTCCTGGACGCCCCCCTGGTGAGGTTTTGTGGGCACGTCCAACCGGGAGGAGACCCAGTGGAAGACCCAGGACACCCTAGAGGGACTATGTCTCTCGGCTGGACAGGGAACGCCTTGGGATTCCCCCGGATGAGTTGGCCCAAGTAGCTGGGGAGAGGGAAGTCTGGGTGTCTCAGCTTAGGCTACTGCCCCCGTGACCCGACTCCACACAAGCAGAAGAAAATGGATGGATGGATGCAACATTTTTCCTCCTGCTTTATTAAACAAAAACACATTTCAGTGCAGTCAGCTTGCTCGGTGCATCCTGTTTTTGACTCTTTATTATGCAGAGTCTCAGATTAAGGCTCATAGAAAAACACCCTTCACCAATTCATTGTTTTTAATTTAAAAAAGGATCGTTGCAGATTTAAAAAATGACATTTTTACTCCTCCGACTGCACTTTTATGTTTCCAGAGGTCAAAAATAACATTAACTTTGTGTCCACAGTTTATCATAAATGTTCTGCAGCTCACCACAGTGAAGAGGACTAATTCACTCTCCCCAAAAACATTTTATCACAAATTATTTATGAAGTCATTCCTCACCTTCCCAGGAGACAAACACCTGCAGCAACAGCTACGGTGAATTTAGGTCCTCCTGTGCACACGTGCACGAGGACACCGATATGCATCTTCCTGTTATCCCCTTGCTTAGATAATCATCATTATGCATTATTTTCATGATGGCCTAATTTTACTATTTGATCACGTAGAAGTGCAAAATCTGAGATCATTAACGTGACAAATTAGGATTCCTCCTGGTGGTAATACAAGGATGTGCGTCCTAATTTTATTCTTAACGCCCGTTAAACTCAACCTTTCACTTGAACTCACTTCTATCAGTTTACTGGAGTGGGTTGGCAGACTTTAAACATATTAAAGTCCAGCTTTTACCACTCCTGCATTTGAAAAAGGAACAACTCTGGGATGCTGAGGGTTTTGTTTTTATTCTGATGAAGAAATGTCTGTAAAAAAAAAAAAAAAAAAGAAAAGAAATGTCTGTAAAAACTTTAAAACAAACAGATTTAATGTAGTTTGAACCAACCTGTGCCTTCAAAATGTTGTTTTTAGGGGTTATAAGTGTTCCAATTGAATTAAAGCTAAATGATTATTGTCTGAGAGTGTTCACATCCAATGTCTGGTATCACAAAAGACGTGATGATGTCATCTGGCGATGTATCACACGAGGATTAACACTTTGTCAGTCGTAAAAATCCCGTGCCTTTATTTAATCTTGCGGCTCAGCACTCCGACCACTAATGTTTGGAAATTCAGCTCCAGGCAGGATTTACAGGAATGATCAAACCACCTCTAACAGTTCTGTCTGACAGGAGCGCCTCAGAGCCGAGGCTGACATTAATTCTAACTGGTCGGATTTAAAAAACGTCACAGAGAGTAAACACATCTTCTGCTCAATTTACCAGAATTAGCTGCAGGCAGGGGGAATGGGTCGTGTGTGTGTGTGTGTGTGTGTGTGTGTGTGTGTGTGTGTGTGTGTGTGTGTGTGTGTGTGTGTGTTCCTTACCTTGTAGTGGGTTGGCACCACTCACCATGTTAGGGTGAGGGACTCCGCAGGTCTGCAGGATGCGAGTCTGGGAGATGCTGGCGGAAAGCATCTCCTGAGCTAGGTAAAGGGAGGGAGTTAAACGTGTTATAAAGGAAAAAATCATTTTAATATAATGGTTGGTGTATGCTGAGAAGGAGTTGTTTGATATTGTCAGAACAGGTTTTTAATCTAATTTCTTGTTTCTGTAAATCAGGAATGTCTAAAATGTGGCCTGGGGGCCATTTGAGGCCCTCTGAGTGATTTTTTGTGGCCCCCCAGTTGCATTAGTCGAAAGCTTGGTTCAGTCTGTCCAGCAGGTTGGTGATGTGATGTGAAACTGGACACGAGATTTTCAGTGGCACCTCAGAAAAATGCATTTTCTAAATTTAGCTTTTTTCCAACTGTGTCATGTGACACGCCCAAAGCCAAAGGTGAAGCGTTCGCATTGGAGTCGTGCTTTTATGACCTCTCGTTTGGACTACACAAATTCTCTGTTCATTGGTGCTCCTGCTTCAGCTTTGAACCGGCTGGAGATTGTGCAGAATGCTGCTGCTAGATTTCTGACAAAAGCGAACAGAAGTAGTCGCATCACCCCGGTTCTGGAGCATCTACACATGCAAGGTTTTAGTCTACAAGGCATTGAATGGCCTCGCACCCTGTGACATGTGCCGGTGCTCTCTCTGAGGTCAGCTGACCACTCGCTGCTGAAGACCCCCAAAATGAACTATAAAGCAAGCTTTTGTGCACGTTGCACCTGTCCTTTGGAATTCCCTCTCCATCTCCATCAACATCATTCTTCATCAGTCTTGGTCTTCAAGTCAAGACTGACGACTGATTTTTATGCTTGTGTTGTTTATGGTTGTTTTACTTGTTTTTGCTTATTCGATTTTTTTTTATAATGGCTTTCTTTAAGGCACTTCGGTTAGCTCTCACACTGTGTTGAAATGCACTGTTACAAATAAATTGGTATTACATAGTAAGTTAAAGTGTATTGTTGTTTCTGAGTTCTTAAACAGTTATTACCATGTAACTCAGGTTCAAGTCTAGTGTTTATTTTTATTAATCATTCCCAGTAAATACTGCTTTACACAATAATTACACTTTATTCCAATTTTACATTTTAATTACACAATAATAAACTCTAACTTACTATGTAATTACAGTGTAAGTAGTTAGTAATTAGGGGACTGTAAAATGAAGCATTACCGTTTTTTTTCTTTTTCCAAACAATTGCCATAATGCCTTTTTTGATCAATCAATCAATGAATCAATCCAATTTTATTTTTATAGAGCCTTCCACTCCCTTTACGGAGGCCCAAGGCACTGGGCATGACATAAAAACCTATGTGGGGAAAAACTTCACCATAAAATAAATTTTGCTTTTTTAAAGTAAAAAAATCCCATTTGGGGGGCCCAGTGCTAGTAACGTGACAATTTTGACCCTCGTCTTGAAACTTTTGGACACCCCTGCCTCAAATGCATCCACACCCTGTGTAACATAAAGTTATGGCCAATAAACCAAATACCTCATTTTCTTCCTCCCCAGACTCACCTGCCATCATGCCATAGGTGGCTTGCTGGTTGCTGTAATGGCAGGGGGTGACCGGGTAATGCAGGCTTGGGGGGGCATTACCAAGCATGTGGGAGCGCTTGGAGGTCTGACCCAGAGACAGCCCTGACGACACTGATGAAAAGACAAGGAGTTACAATCCTCACAGCCAAGAGGACGCCATCATGTTTTAAGATCAGACAAGCAACGACACTTAGAAGGTGAGAAGTAAAAAACGTTCACACCACGTGTTAAACTGAAACTGTGCTGGAATGAAATCCAAGATCTCCAGATTGGCTTCATACATAAATCATTTTCACCAAACTGCCTCTGAATTACTGAGAACTTCAATGTTTTCACACAAAAAACACTTTTATGCCTCAAATGAGAAATAAAGTACAAATCATGTTAGTTGGGTCTGTTTGACCCTCAGAAGATGGAAAGGAAATGTTTGTGCAGAAAGTATAACTGGTGCATTTATGATTTTTACTTAATAACATGAACATGGACATGGTTAAACTGTTTAAGTTTGTTACCAGCAAAAACTTTCTTCTTTCCAACCACAAACTCCATCATGACAGAGAAATGTGTGATTAAATTAGACTCCAAGTTAATCATCCACCGACAGCTGAGCCAAAAGGCTGATCAGATATATTAGATAGGATTTAAATTCATTTACAACATTTTTCAATCTGATACGAGTTTCTGGTTGCAATTAGCCAAAGTTTTCTGTATGGAAATCTGTGTAAATAATCAGAAATAAGCCACTCCCTTCTAGATTATTGTAATTATCTTTAAAAGCAGACATGATTACTGGTGGCGTGATGTCCTGTAGCTAGGATTTAGCATCATAAAGAAAATAAACACCACCTAGCTTCTAGATGCTATACTTAGCAAAAGACAAGCTATTATCTGAAAGAAAGCATTGAATAGTAGAAGTTGGAGAAAGATATGTTACCTGCAGAGACCATGCTGTGAGAGGTGTTTGGTAGGCAGTCACCTGTAGAGCCGTGGTGCATGAGGATGGGTAAAGGTGAGTCTCCTGCCAGTGAGGAGAAAGAGTCGGCACCAAATGCCTGGCATGCCATATTTCTCTGGTTTTAGGTCTGGTTTTAGGTTTTTGGCAGATCTGATGTCGGTGCGTCCTAGTTCGCTCTATCTCGGCACGTCTCTTTGTTTTTACTGTTTAGCATTCTTTAAATTGTGAAATCTGTTTTGTTTTGTTTCCTTCCTTGAGTGAAGCTTGTGTTTCTGCTCTTGTTCCTGAAGTTTTCTGTTTTTCACCGACTAGTCGCCTTACAACTGGAGTTTCGTGTCCTTATCTTGTCCGTTTTCTCTGTGGCTCAGTGAAGCGTTCGTCTCCCTTCAGGCGCCTGGGAAAATCTGAAGGCTAAAAAAGGGAAAAAAAAAACTTGTAAAAGGTTCGTTTTGTGGTTTTTTTCATGGAGGTCAGCACCTCTGCCAGAACTCTTCACAGTTTCAGACTCTAGCCTCAAACAAGACCCTTGAAGATGAATAGTGAAAAGTTTAAAATCACAGGTAGACCCGCTGAAACGATGTTCTCAGCACCTCCGTGTCTTTATTCACCATCAGGTCATACCCTCAGCATTTTTCTGTCTTGTTCTACTGCAGGTATTTATACCCCACCCATCTACACCTAGCCACCCCCTCCTCCACCTATTTTCTATCAAGCACCCCCCCACACACATACACACACACACACACACTACCACCGCCTTCCAAACCCATGTCAGTGCTGTAATTGCCTGTGTTTGTACTTACCTACGTTCTTATCCCATTTCCAAATCCAGGATTAGGGAACAGAGTGGCTGAGAAACCTGATCTTCTGCTCTCCTCTGATTTTTCACCAGCTCCGTTTTCGCTTTCCCTGATTACAAGATTGTGTCGAGGCAAGGGGGAAAAAACACTAATAAATACTTAAATATGTCAGAGTTATAGGTAGAAAATTCCCCTTATGAACATTTCTCTTGCAGGAGCTGAAGAGGAAGAAAATTTAAATGTGTAAATTTTTTTAACATTGTCATCATCAGAGATTTTAACTCTCAGATAACTTTTACCGAAGTCTCCAACCTTATTTAGCACCTTGTTGGGTCAAATTGGGAGAATTCAGGGTAATGAAGTTCTTAAAGTGTCGTATGTACTTTGACTCTCCAGACTTGTCTCATTAGTTACAGCAACGGGCTCACCCAGGCAGCTTTTAGGCCCCCAGAAAGAAGGTAGTTTAATCCAAAATGACATTAGGAAATGGCCGCTAACAGGAGTGGTGAAGGTCAAGCCGAAGTCTTGAAGAACATTTCGTTGAATCAAAAGAATTTCAAATTTGGTACTCGTATTTTACCGCAAAAAAGTTACTTTGAAAATTCATCAATCGGACGCAGAAGTACCGCTCTTCTGAGCTGCACATAAGTTACTTTTACATGAAATCTACAAATATTTCATGAATTTAAAAAGTAGAAATATGTCTAAGGGCTGACTTCTGCCTCTGTAGCAGGGTAGTTACCTGGAATAACTCCAAATACACTTACAGAACTAAAGAAGGAACTCTGGCTGCAAAAAACGAAGCCAATGCAGAAATGACAAAAATTGCAGTTCCTTCTCATCCACTAGGGGCTGACTCCAGAAAGGAGCACGTTCCCATCACTCCCATGTTGAAAATCCCAACTCCACAGCAGAATTAAACATGTTTACAGCCTGGTAAAAAAAAAATCACTTTAGGTTCAATCAAGTTTACATTAATGACAACTCTGAGGGGAGTACATTTTTTGTAACTCCTCTGTAACCCCCCCCCCCCACACACACACACACACACACACACACACACACACACTCCATATTCAAGCAGCAAAAGAAAGTACAGAAATATAATTTTACTGATAAAAAAGAAGCAGAAACTGCTTGGATGAACTGTTTGAATAACCACAGCTTGCCCTCTGTGTCCAAATACTTCCATGATTAACATCCAAACACAAACACGAACACACAGGGGACAAAACTAAAGTTCAGAGAGTCGAAATGGCCGAACATCTGAGGCTGAGGCCTCTCCGGAGCTAGCTCTGAAGTCACGTGGCTCTGATGCTCATTAAGTATTCAGATTTTAAGCATTAAATTACAATTAAACAGAAGAATTACAACAAAAATAATAATAAAACTCACCCCCCTCAGAGTTGTCATGAATGTAAACTAGGTCTAAAATGGTTTTTGAACCAGGCTGTAAACGTGTTTATTTCTGCTGTGAAATTGGCATTTTTAACATGGGAGTCAATGAGGATTTGCTCACTTCTGTTGCCAGCCCCTAGTGGATGAGGGTGGAACTGCATTTATTGCCGCTTCCGTGTTGGCTTTGTGTTCATCCCAGGATTATGGGGGCTAGGGTTAAACCACCAAATCGTTTCTACAGCTGCAGCTCACCTCTCCCCCTGGGGATGGGAACATGTGGAGATGAATTTCACCAGTGTGTTAGGATGACAGTTGGACTTGACACGGCCAAGATGGCGGTGGTGGGAACCGCTCATTGGGCTTCAAGTCAGCTCTTTAGAAAACTGCATGTGATGTCACAGAGACTCTGTCCGTTACATTTACAGTTTAAGAACAACAAGAAGTGAATCACTGAAAATCCTCAAAATATTATTTAATTTATGATTTAATCTTTTCAGAATAAAAAAAACACTTTTCCTGCATGCTCCTGATTTATGTTGCACATAGGGTCACTCCATCTGCTTTCCACTTTGAACCAACTCTAGGAAATTAAACTTCAACAAAGCATCTTTGTTCCGCTGCACTCCTCGAGTGATTTTGTAGCAGCTTTGGTGCCTTAACTGGTTTTGTTTCTGCTTGGTTCAACCCTCGCTGATCCAAAGATCAGCTGATCCTTCCTTTGCAAACTGTTGCTATTGTTTCCGTGTCTAAATTGTGTTGGTGCTCCAGGTAAAGACTGAAGGTGTCATCAGAGAGAATAAAGGTTAATCTGATGAGCGTGGCCACCATGTGCACTCTGTTGTGTCTGTATTTGTATTTATCCTCAGCTCTTCTCCACTATTGTTGATGTAGGTGGGCAGCAGGTGGAAAATAGCTTGTGGGTGGCAGGCACCATTTGGCTTCTTAAGCACACGGACTGAATACACTTAGTCCTTTACGGTGTTCTTCCTTTTCTTTAAAGAAGTTGTTAATGCCTCCCAATCCAGGGTGAGAAAAAAAAACTCACATTTAATTGGAAAAGTTGTCAAAAAATAAATAAATGAAAGGATTTTAAACCACTGAGAGCTTTGTTGTTTTAGTGGCATTAAATCACAAATTCTGATCCAAACACTAATGATAGTTTATCCACTCGGCTCGATTCAACCCAACAAAATTAGCGCTATAACGTTTGTTTTGACAAAAAGCCCAGAAATGTATAAAAAATCAACTCTGACCGAACCCATGCCACCTGTTTTGTTTCGGAAAAAAAATTAAAATCAAGTTCACATAAAAATAATTAAAAATAAAAAAAAGACAAGTGGTGCATCATAACAAAGAGAAAAAGAAAAAGAGATTCTTCCAGTACTAAAATCATTCTTAAAATACTTTTTCTCTGTCTTCTTTTTTTTTCCAGCCAACAACTCCCACTCAGGCTGGAGACCACGTTCCAGCTGGTGAATGTGGGACTGTTCCTTACAGCTGGTTTGTTACACTTCATATTAAATTTGGCAATAAGTTTGACACCCAACAAAAAGTCTCACATCTGTAAAAACTCAGCCTTGAACAGACTAAACAACCCCGACAGGCTGAACTGCTTCATCTCTGTTTGTCATGAAAGCAGTCGCTTGATGAGTCACGGACCACGAAGTTTGGTTTTCATCTAACTGCTAAAGAAGTGATCATCTCTCCTCCTCCCATCATCTGTTTTACGGATGTTTTGGATCTAAATAAAAACATCTCACGATATCAAAGATGAAGAAACAAAAAATTGTTTGTGCAAAAGAGTTTGGAATAAAATAAATGGCACGATGAGTGCATCTTTGTTCAATAATGAAATAATATCGAAGGAAATATTTCAGAAAATAATCCAGTTTGAGAGAAAAAGGCAAAGATTTCCCAGGACACACACACACACACACACACACACACACACACACACACACACACACACACACACACACACACACACACACACACACACACACACACGTAAAGGTCTACAAGCTAATTAGCCAAGAGACAAAGAGTCAAAGGGGTTTTCTTAAAGCACCTGTCCCAGATCATCCCCTCCTTCACTCTCGCTCTCTCTCTTTCTCACACACACACACACACACACACACACACACACACACACACACACACACACACACACACACACACACACACACACACACACACACACACACACACACCTTAGATAATTAGCTTTCTGTTGTTCATAAACCACCTATTTTTACAATTTCTAATAGGTTCAAGAAAATCACATTACAATGTCAGAGCTTCACATTCAGCACAGTTTTACTCTGCCGACAAAGACACACATATACACACACACACACACACACACACACACACGTGCACACACATGCACACACACGTATTCATTTACTGATGCAGTGGGAAGAGTGGAAGGTGACACATTCTCACAGGTATCACATACATACATACAGTGTACCAGGTGTGTTTAGCCAGCTCCGAGTGAACAACAGCAGGTTCGTTGTAAATGTGGTGGCAAATCTCAGCAGGTTTATTCGGACTTTTTGTAAAAACAAAAAAAAATGCAAGCATAAGGAGACGTCTTGTTTGCGTTTTCTGTCTACATTTAGAAAATGACACTGGACGTTTCCAACATGTGGGTAAAATGGGCACCAAATTAGCTAAAGCTGAACATTTAAAGTATTTGGTAATTTTCTTCCAATTAGAACCCATTTATATTAGTTAGTTGAGCTTTATTTTTTAATAAAACCTTAAAGGTGCATTATGTAAGAATGACATCCCGTTGGATATGGAAGCCCGTTTTCTAAACACACGAGCGACATTCTCACTACAGTTTTGTGAGTTTTGTGGTGTAACGTGACGGAGGTGCCATTCCACTGAAGGTTATTTAGCCTCTCTCCACAGATGCCTCTGACACAGTACTAAGCTGCATGAGACTGCCTCAAGGTCATGCATTCGCTTCTAAACTGCTTCCTTTCCAGCTCAAGAGAAGAATGAAGATAAAGGACTCTGTCACACCCTGTCCTGTCTCCCCGTTTGGTTCTGCCTTGTGTCTCCGTTATTTGCTCCCACCTGCTGCTCGTTTCCCAATCACCTTAGCTCCCGGCCCTCGTGTATTTAAACCTCTTCTGTTCTGTGTCTTGTGTCGGATCATTGTTTCATTGTCCAGCGTGTCTCCTAATAAATAAGTGTAAGAATTCCTACCTGTCTGCCTGTCTTCCTCCCCGCGTCTGGATCCTCGCCTCACCTCGGCTTCATTCACTGGCATGTGTGACAGAATGATCCGACCAGAACCCGTTAAAGGATCCAGCGGGGAGATTCTACCCTGGGAGTGCCTGCTCCGGTTCCTCTCCTCCGATCACCGGCCGGCCTCTCTTCCTCCAGCTTCGCCTCGCCGAAGACGCCGTCATCGACATTCGGCCGCGGCGTTCCTCCCCACCCTCCCGTAGCCAGGGGAGAGGTTGGACCGGGAGCCGCTTCCAGACTGCTCCAGTTTCGTAGGCACGAGCCTGGCTGTCTGTTCCCCCGGAGTTCCACCGCATCCCTGTGTCCTCGGACGGAGCTGCGGAACAGCTTGGACCCGCCCCCGGCCAGATCAGCAGTCCCGTCACCGGCCCAATCGGCGCCTCCGTCATCTGCAGGTGGAGGAGCAATGCCTGCAGCCCAGCTGACAGAGCTCGTCGGTCTCCAGGCGGAACTTGGCCGGATCCGCCAGCTCATCAGCCTCCAGGAGTCACACCTGGACACTCTATCCTGCTCGAACCGCCAGGAGAGGGCCTCGGTCCAGCCGGCAGCTCCCTCATGTCAGAGCCAGAGGAGCGAGCCCGAGGTCCACCCAGCAGAGCTCGCTGGTCTCCGGGCTGAGCTGGCCCAGCTCCATCGGACCCTCAGCCTCCAGGAGCTTCATCTAGACGGTCTGTCCTCCCTGCTCTCCCAGTTTCCAGCACCACCAGTTCAGACGCAGCCTGTTCCAGTGGTGGTCCCGGAGGTTGCACTGCATCCAGTCCAGCCTGTCCAGGCAGCCCCTCCTGCTGCGGCTCCGCCTCCACTCCAGAAGCAGAAGGTTCGGGCCCAGAAGCA